CCCCAAAACCCCAAAACCCCAAAACCCCTAGGTTTAAGTGGCTTATTGACAAAACTTAATTCAATAAAATTCAAGCTTGAGGTATAAAAATTCTATATAAGATAACACACCAATTTATTAACAGAAGGTTTCGAGCTTTTATAAAGTTCTACAAGCTAGAGAAATTTATATCATCTTACTAAATAAATACAATCTTTTATTTATTTTGACTAACACATATCCCAAAAACAAGAACTTCAAAACTGGAGACTTTCAAACACAGTTCGACAAGAAGCCAACACTCAAAAACCACCTTTCTTCTAAAACAAAGCTCAGTCCGATTCCAAGTCTGTTGGGCATTGAACCTTCACTTTCTTTCTCTCAAGAAACAATTTTGTTCATTTTTAAAATAATTTTCTAATTTATTCCTGACAAATATTACGCACACAATTCTTCCTAAATTATTTTAACTTTTTGCCTTTTTAAGCACTTTATTTTAAAAGACAAAAATGATTGATTACAACTCCCAAGAAGAATTACCCTGAAAGCCTGATCCTAACAAGAAGATCCTGTATGACTCAAAAGGAGTTAAATGGTATAAAAAGGGCCTTAACTCCTCAGGACGGAGGATATTCCTGACATGAGCACTTCCTGGATGTCAAGCGAGGGCTTATAGCATCGTAGGTGATGATATCTTAGTGCTTACCAAGTTTCACGAGCTTTCTGTGCATCATGATTATTCCAACAAGAAGTCTAAAAAACCTACCAAATACAAACGGATCAAGGAACATAATGATCTTTATATGAGTAATAGGAAGCGAAAAGAAGAAAATTTACACCACCAACCTCGAGTTTCAAAATCCAAGTTTAAGCTTTATGATGAGAGACAAGAACAAACCTTATTTCAAGTGAAACAAGAATTCCTAGAACAACCTGACCCATTTTTGCTCTTTAACCCTCCAGATATTTCCAACGCTCGAATAGTCAAGAACACTAGCAATCTTGAAATCATGGATTATAAGAAAGAAATACAAGGCTTAAGAGAAAGCCTCGAAGAGATTTTAAAATTCCAAGAAGAGAATCAATCAAAGCTTGATTATTTCTCATCACTAGTTCAAAGCAAAGATCCAACTGTAATGAACATCCTTACAGATATTAAAAACATAAAAGAAGAAGATACAATTAAAGTCGAAAAATTAACTAATCCAGAATGGTCAAAAGGCTTATGAAAAATAGAGAACAAACCAGAGGGTGCCATGCCTTCCCAACCATGCTCTAACAGTTACACTTCAGATAATTTCGCTTAGCCACCTTTCAATCTTTGGGAAAAATTAAGGGGTTTTGGGGTTTTGGGGTTTTGGGGTTTTGGGG